GAGTGGGTAGTGAGTATTGAGTAGCGAGTATGGGAGTAGCGACTAGGGAGTACTGAGTATTGTGTAGTCAGTATTGTGTAGGGAGTAGGGAGTAGCGAGCAGCGAGTAGTGGGCAATGAGTAATGATTTGTGGGTCGCGAGTAGCGAGTGAGTAGCGAGTAGCGAGTTGCGAGTTGCGAGTTGCGAGTGAGCAGTGAGTAGTGATTTGTGGGCAATGAGTAGTTCGTACTGAGTAGTGAGTAGTGGGTAGTGGGTAGTGAGTAGTGATTAGTGAGTAGTGAGTAGGGAGTAGTGAGTAGTGCTTAGTGAGTAGTGAGTATTGAGTAGAGGGTAGTGAGGAGTGAGTAGTGAGTAGGGAGGAGGGAGGAGGGACTAGTGAGTAGTGAATAGTGAGTAGGGAGAAGTGGGTGGTGGGTACTGAGTAGTGGATAGTGAGTAGTGAGTCGTGAGTAGTGGGTATGGGGTAGTGAGAACTGAGTAGCGAATAGCGAGTAGTCAGTAGTGGGTAGTGAGTAATGAGTAGTGAGTATTCTTTGGGGCTGGGGTTAGTGGTTGGGGTTAGGATTAGGGGTTTGGGTTAGGGTGAGGACTAGGGGTAGGGGTGGCGGGGTCGGGTTCTGGAGTCAGGGGGCGGCGTGGCGAAAGGGGGGGAGGGGGGGGGGGGGGTCGGACCCCCCCTCCTTTTGAAAGGCGGGAGGGGGGGGGTCCCCGACGACAAATCGGGGAAAGGGGGGGGGGGTCCCGACGACGGATCGGGGAAGGGGAGGGGGGGTGAGTCCCCGACGACGGATCGGGGAGGGGGGGGGGGGTGTTCCTACCCCCCCCCCCACTGGGGAGATCCAGCGGCGCACCCTCGAAAAATTGTGTACGAAACCCGACAGCATGTCCTGTTCATTTTGGACAGGCTTCGTTGTCGGTGTCGCCGCGGACGTGAATCATTTGAGACAGTTGGACAATGGCCGTCGTCGGTTTAGGACAACATTTGTTGCTGGGCATTGTGCTCAGATGTTCGGTACCCATTTCGGGCGTCCAAACACAGGGTTCCCCAGCACCCTCCTCAGCGTCGGCCTGCACGCTAAGATTCGCCCTTCCGCCGCACCCTATAGCCGCGCACCAACGGTCACTCTTGCCTAGGGTCACTCATGCGTGTAGCAGGGAGACTCGGGCGGGCGGAAACGGGGAGTAACATCTTGGATGCATCTCCTGGAGGGTGAACTTGAGCATCGACGTTGGGATTTCCGTAGTCGAAGCCCGGCCTAATATGGCAGAGTCCCGCCGAATCTGGCTTGATCCTGATTCATCCAGCTGAATCTGGTTTGATCCTGGGCCAATCTGGCTTAATGGCCTCTTGATCTGGCTGTAAGTCTCGAGTAGCCCGTCGTAGTTCCTACGAAGACGTCCACGGGTGCCTCCACACCTTCGGCCTAGCACCCTGCAAAGAGGAAGGAAACGGCCTGGTAGTTGCAGCTTTTCAGATCGTAGCGTGCGCTGGATCTGCGTTGGGCGTCTGACTAGGCGACCTTCCAATCGCCCTGTACGGGGATGGCTCTGTCCGGATCCGAGAGCCTCCACACGGCAGGAGGCCTCGGACGGGCACCGCCTCTGAGGGGTTTCGAGCGACGACGGATCAGCCAGGAGGAGGAGGATGAGGAGGAGGAACGGCAGCAGCAGCGGCGTGGCCACGACGAGGGGGTTCGGATGCAGGTCCAGAGGCGTCGTCTCTCCACGGGGCCAGGTCCACTGGTGGTGCCCTCTTAATTCCCGCGAGGTCCAGGCATGCGCCATCGCGGGTAGATGGGGGTGGAGAGAGCGTCGGACGGTGCTAGGACGATGCCGAATCCGTTCCAGGGCGCTCCGGAACTCTCCCAGAGCGTTCCGGAACGCTCTGAGAAGGCCGGGGCGCCCGATACATCCTCCAGAGTCGCCGGACCTCAGAGATTCTCGATTCAACATCATCCGAATTTCTCCTCGTCCTGGCCCCTTTTCCCAGGAGGAACAGGCGAGGGCGACCTCTCGTGTTCGTAGGGTGCTTGCAGCGGGAACTTGCGTCAAATTGCGGGCTGGCTCTCCTTACTTGCCTCACGGCCCTGGCGGGCCAATCCGAGTCCCCCGAACCCGAACGTCTTCCCGAGAGCGGGGGGGGAGGCGAAGGCGACCTGCGATTGCGACCTCACGCCAGCCCTGTGCGCAGGTACACCAAGCACAAGGCGACAAGCACAACGCTGGCTGCGGCGGACTCCGATGAGGCGGCAGCCGCCGAAGCGGGAGGGGTTAGGAGTACTGGGGGGAGCGGGGAGAGGCAGACGAGAGGAGGGTGGGGGCAGTAGCAGGAGCAGGGGGAGAAGCACTCGAGGAGGGTATCGACTGCATAATCCGATGGCCCCAAACTTTTGTTTCTTCGGTGAGTTAACGAAAGACACATATATGTTTTCCACGAAAGCCTATTTTTGATATATTCGGCGAGCGAAAATTCGGGGCACATCAATTATTTAGTCGATCTCCTACTCGAAGTACGGGGGGGGAGCGGGGGGAGACCGAGAATGGGGAGACGGAACTGGCGAATGTGTCGTAGGACGGGGTAGAAGGTCGGGGAAAGCAAGATGAGGGGTGGGGAGGTGTCTGCGCTGCGTTCAGCTCGTTGTTCATAGTGATCTCTCGTCGAACTGCCATGCCAGACGCGATCCTTGGTACACCTGAAGTAACAACACTGTTCGTTGCTGTGCGTTCCCAGATCATTCACACGCGCATGCGAGGGAGAGAGGCCAGCAGGGAGGGCGTGAAGGCTTTTGAGGGAGGGAGGGGAGAGAAAGAGAGTGCTCGAAGGGAGGCTGAGAGGGGCAGCGGGAGGGAGAGGAGATCGAGAGCGCGCGCGCAATGGAGGGAGACACGGCGAAGGACGACATCACCCCCGCAACGCTCTCGACGAGGCGCAGCTGATGAGTATCACACCAGGTTTCGAAAACGTTTGAAACCAGAGGGCCTAATTATCCCTAGAGCAGTGTCCCCCACCCCGAGCTCCCCTTCTCCTTCGCGTCTCCCCCTCGTGATCCTCCCCAGAGCATCCTGTGCACCGTGCGCGCGGACAGGACATTGGCGGGCCCGCGAGGCAGGAGGCGGGCTCGACCCAGCACTTCAGCGAGGCGGCGGCTTCCCGAGGGGGGGGGGGCTGACTGAGAGGAGGGGGCCCTCCTCCCCCTCCTCCTCCTCGTCCTCCTCCTCCTCCTCCTCGCCCTCCTTCTCGCCGCCTCTCCTCCCTTGCCATGTTGGCTCAAGTATGGTCGGGGGAGATCGCACAGGAGCGACCAGCCCACTTTTGTGGGCCATCTCGGGTGTCGTGACCGAGCGGACATTCAATTTTTCTCCTCGCACCCCAGTCTCGCATCATTTTGTTGCGCCATGGCGTCGGCAGCTGAGGCGATGGAGAGGGGCATCAAGGAACTTCTTGGGAAGATGGGCTCAATGAGCGCCTCCTTCTCTCAGCAGCTCATCGGCATCAACACTGTCGTCGGTGAGATCCCGTCCATCAAAATATCACCTTCAAGCGCAAGCAGAACAACAATCCGTTCTCGCTCCACGACTTGTTGCCGCCGAGGCGAAGGGGATCGCCTAAGCCGCCGAGGGTAACATCCTCGCCAAGTTCCAGGCCCTCGAGTTCAAGGTCTCGTCCATGGTCAGCACCGCCAACTCCAGCGCCAGCAGTGCCGCCTCCTTCGCCCCCAGCGGCCACAAACGTGTTCGTATTGATGCCGCAGGTTCCCACGTCGGCCGACATGAATTCCTGTTGAATGCTGCTTCCAGGGACAGGCGCAAGGTGTGGGTCAGCAGCTTTGTCTCCCCCGTGTTGGGCACCATGCTTGAGAAACACGGCAAGGGGCTGCTTGGCCGGATCCCCTCCCATCACTCCGACGGCGCCACGTTCAGGGGTTACAGTCTCAACAAGTCGTAGAGCACCACATTTATCAGTGAGAAGGCTGCTTCTGCTTGCGTCGGTCACTTCCGCCAGGCTGGCATCCAGTTTCAGGACGTGGCCACCAACTTATTTGTCAGCCCCCGCGTGCGGTATGATCCTGCCCCTGCTGAGATCCGCGCGAAGAATAAGTATATGGGGCGGTTGTAGCAAGCCATATCCGTCAAGATGAGGCGTGCTGGACATTGGCAGCCAGACTACAGCTTAGGGTCCAATGGTTTCAAGGGCATTCTGTACCTCAAGCAGTCCAACTGCATCTCCATTCTGTTCGAGCTGATCACCATCGACCGCAACCAATTCGAGTGCAAAGCCAACTCCGCCAACCTCGACACGTCTGGGATTGACTCCAGCGTTACCGCCACCCTGATTGCGACCGCCATGGAGTAGGACATTACATCATAGCCATCTCTCTCCACTTTCATTGCGAGCAGGTTCCTGATGAGTGCGGTATGATCATGGACAGCTGCACGGACGACGAATGCTCATCCTCATCGTCTACCTCCTCCTCTGGTTCGTCCTGCTTGACTACGCACTCTGATGCCAGCACGCTCTCCCGCCTGCCCTTCCTCTTCCGCGAGTTTTCCTCCAGCGCGACGTGGCATGTGCAGTCCTTGTTCGGTTTAGTCTCGTCGCCGACCTAGCCGACTGTTCGCGCGATGTCGAGACGCCGCCAGGCCATCTAAAACCTGCAATCATCGCTTTTCAGGAAACTCACGGGTCCGATGAGGATCTCATGTATCTGACAAGAGAGATCCAGGGTCTGCGCGCCTACGGCAAGTTCTTCCTCAATGGCATCAAGGGCGGGTGCGTTATACTTTTCAATCCTCGCTTCGCTTCTCTGTTTGGCGGTGTCCGACGTCGCGCGCTTCGCCGAGGGCGGGTTCATGTGCTTGGGCTGCGAGGGCGGCATGGTGCTACTCATGTTCTCAACGCTCACATCGACCCCAGTCTGCCAGTGCCTGCGCGCTTTCGCATTTGCGTTTCATCCTGTCCCGCCCCCCCCCTTCCGCCGCCCAAGGCCGCCCCCTTTCTTGTCGGCGACTTAAACTTCTGCTCTCTTGGGGAACGGCGCGCAATACGGGTGGGGAAACAATGCCTCATGCACGCGGGCTCGCTAAGCACTTCGCCCGTCTCTTTCCTGGGCAGACGGAGGTCGCGCAACCGGCTTGCGCGCATCGTCGCACGCGGATCATCGATGGCGCGCGCACTGTTCAGACTACACACCACCATGTTTAGCGCGTCTTCGATTGATGCGCAGGCCGACTCTCTCACGCTGGCATCAGTGCGCGACATGGGCTTACTATCAGAGCATGCACCCGTTCGCCTCGCGCTCTCCCCCGTCTCCGCCTTGGGGCCACCGCCCATCGCATCGCGGGCGTGCCGGCGCACTTCGATTCCGATGGCTATCGAGAAGGTTACGGGGCTGGTCCCTCGTCTATTTTCCGATCCAGCAGCGACCGTGCTCGAGATTAAAGACGTTATCCGCGCTGCCGCGAAGATCGCCAGAGCTGACCTCTCGCTTCGCGAAGCATAGTCCTTATCAGGGAAGTTGTCTTGGGCCCGAGCCGCTCATCGAGCCATGCAGCACGGTCCGCTGTCTCGTATCCAGCAAGTGCTCAGGGCGCACCCGTGCCTTACCCGCATCACCATAGGTAGGGGCGGCTTGCGTTTGATTGGCATGTGGTTTTCATCGGTGGCCCGATCGGATGTTCACAAATAACATCCATAGCATGGTTTCCGAAGTCGGCGCAGACCCGCACAGTCGCCCCAGTAAGGAGACTTCTTCCAAGCAGCGTCTTAACGAGCGCCTCTCAGCCTCGCCTGAAACCAATCGTCGCAATTCGCTCGCGGGGGTCGCCGACCCCGCTGGGGAACGCATCTCGGGCCCTGATCGCGTCGCTGATCGCTGAGCTGAACGCTGGGGAATGGCCCGCAGCTTGGAAGCCCCCCTCAGGCGCGCGAGCAGCTAAGGCCAGATGTTGCCCCCGCTCCGGGTCACATCTTTGGGGCATTTTGCGAGGGGGAGTTGTGCGAAGTGGCCTCCAAGGGGCGCGACTCGGGCGCGGGCCCCGACGGCGCCCCTCACTCCGGGTTGACCAGAAGCGGATCTATCGGCCCCAAGCTGCTACATGCTTTGCACTTGTCCTTGCTGCGGGGCGGCAGTCTTGCAAGCGAGTTCAAATTGTGCCAGGCCATCTTCCCGGCGCAAGGGGTCGGGGCCGACGATCGGACCCGCGGCGTGGATTGGAAGCCTGAAGTCACGCGGCCCATTGCCCCCTCCAACAGCGATCTCCAGGGCCCTCAACTATCCCTTCTCACACCTTTTGCGAAACAGCTATCACCAAACAGCGTGGCTTCGTGCATAATCGTATTATGAATGACAACAGTATTACTCTAGGGTCGCAGGGTCTCTAGTGGCACTTCGAGATGGGGCCCTTGTGCACTGGCTTCGCCTTCTTCGATGCCCGCGCCGCCTTCCGCAGCCTCCTCCACGATCTGATTTGGTGGGTCTTGGGCGTTATGGGCGCCCCGTCGTTTATTGCCGAGGCCGTTCGCAAACTGTGCAACCGTGTATGGTGTGGCATCAAATCTGCGGCCTCAGGGTTGCTGGCTTCTGGGCTCTCAGAGGGGTCAAACGAGTGTGCCCTTTTGTATCAGGGTCGCTCTTTTGTTTGGGATTCGACCCCTTCCTGAGGTGCCTCCGTTTCCTTCTGCCACCTCAGTCGGGCACCCTGGGGGTCTTCGCCGATGACGCGGGCCTCGCCAGCTCGGACATCTTTGCCGCTCTTGCGCTTGTGCTGCCCGCTGGGGATTTGGCTGCTCGCGCTGCAGGGCCCCATGCGAACTCAGCCAAAACCGTCATTGAGTTGATCCATCGGATGTCCAAAGATGCATTCCGCGAACCTTTCGGAGAGCGCCGCACCAAGCAGCGCGATGTTGTTTTCAAGCGCGCAGCCATGTATCTCGGCATCGTCGCAGGCCCAGGAGAGGCGACAGAGAGCTGGCGCGCCCCGGCCGCCAAGTGCCTCGAGAGAAGCCGAAGCATTCAAGGTCTCGGGTTTGGTTTGATGAAGTCTATTGCCCGGTGCAACGCGCACGCCATCTCCGCCCTCGCCCATGTCTCCCAGTTATACGCCCCCTCGTCCTGTGAATAGAACCCGTGTAATACCCTCATATATACTCCTTATCCTCACTTCTCCTGCGCCTGGCCGTTTGGGCTCAGGTATTGGGACAGATCGATCAGACCTTTGATCGTGCAGGAGGGAAAGACATCCATCTATCCCTCCTTCCCTCTACCAACGGATCAGGGGTTCTGTGCCCTTGTACTTCAACCCCATACACAGTTTATCAGCCCTTTAATTACCGTTCAACGAACCCCGCGTCGCGACCTCGCACGCGGCCTCGCTGGAACCCAAGCGGCGCATGCGCTGCAAGGGGTCCATCGGGGCCGGGTCCATCGGGGCCTCGCGTCCGAGCTCTCCGACGGCGCGACGGCTCGGTGATGAGTTGGAGAGCCTTAGTGCGGACTGTGTTGGTGTCCCAGGTACCCCCCCCCCCCCCAGCTCCGACGGACCCGAGGCGCGGCTAGCTGCTGAACTTCACCGCAGCGCCGCCCGCGGGGGGACAGGAGAAGGAGTAGGAACAGGAAGGAAGGAGTTCCACACGCCTACCTTCGATCCTCCATCTCCTCCTCAGTCGGGAGCAATCCCAACCGCGTCAGGCGAAAGCCTCACTGGTCCTGATACTCCAGGGCGCTTTCGCGCTAACCGCCGATGGACCTCAGGTGCTGGTACCCCCAGCCCTGCGACCGTTCCTGTTGCGGAGCACGTAGCCACCTTCGAGGAACTCAGTAGACCAGTGGCGGCACAGCCGCAGACGCAGTATCCCAAGGTATCATCGGATGAGACACCACACACACATGGTCCGAGTCGCAGCTCGTCCGCGCGCAACCGTCGCGGGGCCCCAGGCCCATACGGCGAGAGTAGGTCGAGCCCGCGCACTGCCTCTCAGAGGCCATGCGCTCCCCGTGACAGGGGGCACAGGGAAGCTGACGCTCCCCACCTCTCCATCTCAGACGACCAGCTGGCGGAAACGTCCGCCGCAGGTGAAATAGCTGAGCTCAGAGACCAGGTTGAAACGTTCGTGTCCAGGCAATACTCTGGACTACTGCAG